TCCGTGAAATACTCAATTTTAGGTGTAGGTTCGAATTGTACTAATGTTACAAATCGCACAACCGTTTCAATTCGTTCTCATTGTACGAATTATCAAACAAAATTAACTTTTTAGTGTTACAAAATATTACGACTGCGATTCCTACAGTTTCCTTTGATAAAGAATGTTTAAATATTCCCCCCGATGCAAAATTAGCGGATTCTAATTTTAATATATCCGGAGATATAGATATTTTAATAGGAGTCTCTCATTTCTTTGATTTGTTATGTGTAGAACAAATTCGTTTACCAAACAAGTCATTATTATTGCAAAAAACTAAGCTGGGTTATGTACTTTCGGGTGAATGGCAGAATTTCCCTTATAATTCGGAATCCGCTTCTTTAACGCATTGTTGTTTTGCAAATAATTTACTAAACGATAATTTGCAAAAAATGTAGGTACGATTTAGCTATAAACAGATTCTTTTTGTTAGAAAAGAGGTTGATGAGACGACCCGATATAAGGGACATGTAGTCGTCATTCATGAAAGAATATGAAGCTCTAGGCCATATGTCAAAAATAGACTGTAAAGATTTCAAATGCCGCATCACGAGATTGTTAAAACAAATAGCTTAACAACAAAGTTACGACCCGCGGGGGAGCTGGACCCCCACCGGGCGCGTCCCCAGGTGGCGGATAGGGGAACGCTCGCTTCGGCGAGTATCGGGTTAACCCGACGCGGACCAACCAGCCGGACTTCTATAGTCTGTTTTTTTGCCAGGACCGGCACGGCACCGGCTTGTTACGTCTCTTGTTCTTCGTCTTCTTTTTCGTTTTTATGTGATTGGCACGTATTTTGGAAACCCTGGGAGTGCTGACGAAGCCTCCGGTGTCTCGGCCGGGGGTGGAGGAGGCTGATGTGAGCTTGCTCTGCCGAGGGGGGACTGGGTACGTGTCAGAGGCCAGCCACTTCGGGCCCTGATCAGGTAGTGTAGAATGGATGCGGAGGTCGGAATCCGCATTGCCCCGAACGAGTATCGATTCGTCCGTGTTTGTCCGGAATCGATAAAATGAGGGTTGGGCCCCGGGGAACTGGGGTAGGTTTCTTTAACCGAGGGTATACCCGTTCCCAACCATCCTCAGCCCGTTCCTTTCTACACGAAGCGCTGGTGAACCCAATAGAATGGAAAATCCTACGAGAAAACCCATTCAAGAGGNACTTGCTAATCATTTTTTATTGGTAAACAAAGTCAGGGATAAGATGCTGAGAAATTTAAATTAACTATTCAAAGTTTTTATTCGTTGGTACAAAACCAACTTATCCTGAATAATGGTACAAAACCAACTTTATTCTGTCATATTCGTGCAAAACCATATATTATAGCCACTAGGTAGTATTTACTGTCCGGAGCCGCCTACTATAATCAAAATTTTGAACATTAGCGCTTACTATTTTCGAATTGAAAATTATCGCTTATTTTCTGCAAATACACCATACATGCGATACATCATTGGAAAGCTAAAAATATGCTCTGTTCTTTAACATCATAATCAAGTATAGTTTGTATTTAAAAAAACACAACTTTGTGTTGTATCTCAAAAATCATCAAATATATTTAAAACTTTTCAACGGCAGTATATTCCACTTAAAAAATGTCTTAAGAACGTATCAACCCCATTCCTATATTTTGATAAATAAACGAAATATGAGCATTTTTTGAAATCACGAAAATTTGACTTTTTGGCTATAACTTAAAAACAAAAGAAGATAGAGGTTTGATGTTTGCGGGATTGAATTAGTCTCGAAAAAAGAGAACGGAACATGGCACCTACTTTTTTCGTATCTCTTATAGTTTCTGAGATAGCCTATAATAACACCCAAATTTGCCCACCCTGTACTTTCGGATGAATGGCAGAATTTCCCTTATCATTCGGAGTCCGTTTCTTTAACGCATTGTTGTTTTGCAAATAATTTACTAAACGATAATTTGCAAAAATTTTGGCAAATTGAAAAAATAACTCCCCTTAATCCACGCTCTCTATATCCGGCTCGAAGGACCATTTTTAGGTTAGTGTTTAATCGCTGATTCGTTTATTCTTTGTTTTTGTGATAGAATTAAACTCTTGAAATTTATTTTACTAAATTTTAATATAATTTTGACGATGTTACATTGCTTGAGGCATAAAGCCGAATATATCCGGTTTTACCAAATTCATCTTATAAATAACACGGCCCGAACGTCGTACTTTGACCACATGTCACCAATTGGAAAACAACAAAAAAAAATATAAATGCAAATTAGGAAAATCATTTAATCAAAACAACAATAAAAATTATAACAATTATAAATGCCTTAACAACAGTTGTCATTTAGTTTAATGATTTTGTATGGTCCAAAATAAGGTTTAAACTCGTTCTCCTATTTTCCATGTTGTGGTTTTGACATTTACTTTTTGTTTTTCTTGTGTCTTTTCCTTCCGATTTTGGTCCTTTTGCTGTATGTTTTTGTATAAGAGGGCCATTTTCTCCTTATGTTTAGAAACTAACTGTTGGTAGGTTGTTGTTCCGTAAAATAGGTCCATTGGGTTTCTGGTTTTCGTATGACCATACAGAGCTTCAAAAGCTGTCATACTCAAAGCACTGTGTATGGCATTATTGTACGCTATTACTGCCATACGAACTCTCTTTTCGCTTGATACTTGTGGATCGTCTTCTAGACATCTAAGATGTTCTAAGAGTGTCGAATGAAATCTTTCAATGTTTGCTACACTTTCAGGGTTCTTTGCGCTTCCGAAATGTAGAGTGACATTTTGTTGATTTATTCATTTGTTTTTAATAAACAGCAGCCATTTTTTTCTATTCGTTATTAAAACGTCGTTTTTTACTCGATCTCCTGAAGAAGCCAATTTCCAAACCCAATTCAAGTAAGAATTTTCAAATTTTTCTTGTCTTTCGAGCCGGATCCTTCAGGTCCTCGAGGTGTGTCTTTGGCCAGCGGGCGTTGATGGGCCTTTTGGTGATACCTCCGTATTAGCTCTAGGTGATCCGGACGTCCGACGCCGCATCTCGAGATCCCTATTTTCGCATAATTGCAACATCTATATTGTTTTAATTTAATAAAAAAATTGTTAGTCTACATTCGCCGACGTAGCGTTTACTCTCGAAAAATAATAATATTTAATTTGGAAATACAACCGGGTTTTCCACGCGGCCATCTTTACAACGAATGAAGGCGTCCCTTTACGTTGGAATTCTCGTTAATAATTGTAACTTTGTGATACTATTTTGATGTATATTCCTTTCAATTTTTGTTTTTTGTCTCTATTTAAGACCTTGATTTGAAAGAGTTGAAGTTGAGGTGAAGAAACAACGTTATCTCGAGGATGAGACCCCGTTATAAATTTTGTGACCATCCTCTTTTTTAAACATAACCTAGTACTTGTTCAATATTTTGATGTTTTTTGACTGTGTGACTTTAAGTAAATCGTTTCAACATTATACATCTCACAAGGTCCTCACATATCTGACGGTAATTATTTTCTTGTCTTTTGTTTTGATTTTGATGTTCTTCACCTTCTCTTTACGTTTTTAGTCGTGCCTGAAGCAGACAGCTAAGCTGTCGAAACATTGTAGCACCAATTGCGAATAATAAAATTATATCATCGTTAACCTGATTTTTGACTTTTCAAACTTATATAAGTTTAGCCTATACTCAACTATTTATTTTTGTTTTACATACCTTAAATCATCGTTTTATTTCATTATTGGCCTTGTCCACATTTCATCACAGTTTAAAGGATTTTCAATCTTCGATTTATTTGTTATTTTTTATAATTTCAAATCCGTCCTATCATGACAGCTACAGCTGAAAAAATACAATAATTGTTATTGAAGCAAACTGGTCATCTGAATCGTTTGAATGAAACTCTTACTTGCGGTCAAAAAATTGTCACCGAAGGCGATCAGTGCATATTTTCCGCCCGAGTAGAGATTTTTTGACCGTACATTCGATCAGTTTCAAGAGGTACATAATCAAATTATTGGGTTGATTTCCGATGATGATTTTTCCCAGCATGATGAGGTACGCAAGCAGGCTGATACTGCCTACTTCTCCATCAAATCACTCATATTCAAAAATAAACCAACTACTTCAGCACCTCTTCCAAAGTCTTCTCCGAAACTCAACAAAATTATCATTCCTATCTTCGATGGCAACTATAAGAATTGACCAATGTTCTTTGACTTGTTTAGAACGATGGTTCATGAGAACGAATCTTTGTCCGACGTTGCCAAGTTTCAATATTTGTTGACTTCATTAAAAGATGAACCTCTGAATCTTTTGAAATCGTTGCCCGTAACAAACAGCAATTATGTTATTGCTTATAATACTTTAAAAAGAAGATACCAGAATAAAAGACATCTAGCTACCATCTATTACAATGAGTTAATGACAATGAAGCCTTGCAGTGAAACATCTCCTAAATACTTACGGCTCCTGGTAAACACTTTTAAAGAAAATGTCGAAGGCTGTCATATGTTGGGATTTCCAGTGGATACCTGGGACTTTCTTTTGTTCAATATTCTTCTACAAAAATTAAATGATACTATCAAAACGCAATTTGAAATAGAGCAGAGTAATGTAGAATTGCCATCCTACCAACAACTTGTCGATTTTCTAGAAAACCAAGCCAAAGCTTTGGACTCGGTAAAGTGGACATCGAATGAAAAATCTCCTGTCAATTGAAAGCTCAAACCGATGATTAACCTGAAAGTTGAACAAAATCTAAAGCTTGATAAATGCTTGATTTGTTCAGAATTGCATTTTATTTATCGTTGTCCAACATTTAAAGGCAAATCTGCTACAGAAAGACTCACCTTTGCGAGGGAACATAATCTCTGCCGTAATTGTCTGAGCTGTCAACATCACACTCATAAATGCCCATCTCAGCGTCGATGTTTCCATTGCCAACAAAATCATCACACTTTGCTGCATCTTCAAAGATCAACACCACAATCTTCCATGGTCGGATCAGTTCACTTAATAAAGGAATCTAAAATCAAAGAAACTTCAGCTATCTTACCAATTGCCGTTATAAAAATTAAAGACCATTATGGAAACTTTCAAACCGTACGTGCGCTCATAGATTCTGGAAGTATGACTAACTTCATCACTGAAAGATTATCCAAACGGCTTCGTCTGTTTCATCGTAACACTTCATTGGAGATTAGCGGATTGAATCCAATGAAATCGGTCTGCAACAAGGGATCAGTTGATTGTTTGGTGCAACCATACCATGTGAGCAATCCATCTTTTGAGTTCCGAGCAGTAATAACTCCTAACATTTGTTCGAAACAACCGTCTTCTGATGTTATCATTAAATCGTATCGTCACCTAAAGAACTTAAATTTCCATGATGCTCAGTATTCCGACGCTAAAGAAGTTGATCTTTTACTTGGAGCTGAATTAGATCCACAGATACTAACTGGTGGTAGCGTGATGGGAGGTACTGATGATCCTATAGCTGCTGAATCTGTCTTTGGCTGGGTACTGATGGGGCGCTCAATATTGCCCTAAACCTCAGATGCTGATCTCTCAACTTGATTGTCTACGGTTGATTTGTCATTAGATCAATCACTCCAGAAATTTTGGGAATTAGAAACCATTCCTGAAACATCATCAGTAAATAGGGACGAGCAATTATGTGAAGATTACTTTCAAAAAACATATTGCCGCACTGAAACTGGTAGATTTATGGTTTCTTTGCAATTTCGCAGGGACGTAAAATTTCTTGGAACTTCATATCAAAATGCGCTCAAACAATTCATGTCATTAGAAGCTCGTCTGTTAAAATCACCTGTTTTAAATTCAGGTTACACAGAATTTATGAGAGATTACCTGCTTTCCGGACACATGACACCGGTTCCACCAAATCAAATTCATATTCAAACATCGTATTATATTCCACACCATTGCGTTTTGAAACCAGAAAGTTCCTCCACCAAATTGAGAGTGGTTCTTGACGCCTCTGCTGACTCTTCCACAGGAATATCATTAAATGATTTGCTGTTCATCAAATCAAAATTACAAGACATTGTTCACATATTACTGAATTTTCGATGTTATAAATTCGTTTTTATGTGCGATATTAAGCAAATCAGCATGTACCAAGCGTTCAATACTTTCGGATATAGCCAGAATTTATGATCCTCTTGGATTTTTAACTCCGTGCATATTCAAAGCCAAACATCTTATGCAGCTATTATGGCAAGTAAAGTCTGGTTAGGATGATTTACCTCCGGCTTCGATTTTTCAAACTTGGATTAAATTTAAACAGAACTTACCACGATTATCTGATGTTCGTGTTCCACACATGATCCTCTTAGACGATAACACTTCATATCAGCTGCATTTATTTTGTGACGCATCTCAAACTGGCTACTGTGCTGTGGCTTACATCAGAGCTGAGACAACTTCTGGAACCGTAAAAACCTCCTTAGTTTGTGCCAAATCCAGAGTCGCACCATTGAAAACTATTTCAATTCCACGTCTGGGGCTATGTGGAGCTACGCTGTTAATTTCTCTATTTGAATACATAAATAAGGTTTTGATTCCAACGATTGATTTTCAATCCATCACTGCTTGGTCGGATTCGCAAGTAGTTCTCGCCTGGTTATCGTCAATGCCAAACAGATGGAAAGTATTTCTAGCAAATAGAGTAAGTCAAATATAGGAGGTTTTACGTATTGCTCATTGGAGATATGTTCCTACTGTTGAAAATCCCGCCGACTGTGGGTCACGTGGATTACTTCCTGAACAATTATTGTCCTTCAATCGATGGTGGATAGGACCCAGTTGGCTCAGTGAATCTCCTAATAATTGGCCAACATGCTGTACATCTAAAATTGACACCGCCGACGTTAATACCGAACAAAAATCATCTGTTATTCAGACTATTGACATAGAAGAGCATTTTTTGGATAAATTACTTAATCGTTTCTCATTTTTCTTAAAAATACAACGAATTTTGTTATGTCCGAAGAATTGATCAACATCGACAAAAGAAATTTTATAAAACAACCAACTTATCTCCTTCCGAAATCCAAAGTGCTTTATGCATTTTGATTAAACACATTCAAACCCGCTTTTTCTCTGATATCTTTTCAATTATTAAAAGAAACCAAACTATTCCCAAACCATATCGAAAACTAGCCGTATTTGTTGATACCGATGGTTTGCTAAGAGTAGGTGGACGTTTACGTAATGCTGAAATCCCTTTTGATCATAAACACTCTATACTCTTACCTCGGGAATCACGTTTCAGCGAATTGATTATCGAAGACAATCATAAAAAATTTCTTCATCCCGGTCTGCGCTTAGTTTTGGATTATTGGAATCCATAAGTCATCCATAAGGTCTTATCCAGATGCCTACAATGTTTCCGTGCCAAGCCAAGATCCTATGCACCTTTTATGGGCAATTTACCAACGTTCCGAGTGTCCAATTTAAAGGCTTTCAATGCGGCAGATGTGGATTTTGCTGGTCCGATTTTAACCATTCCCGGAAGATGTCGAGGAGCTCGAGCCGTAAAATCCTAGATCTGTGTTTTTGTTTGTGCCTTTACCAAAGCTATACATACTGAATTGGTTTCAGATCTTAGTACAGATGCATTTATTGCTGCTTTAAGGCGACTTGTTGCCAGACGGGGTACATGTACCTTATTGTTTAGTGATCAAGGAACGAATTTCATTGGCACTAATAATTACCTCAAAGAGATGGCTTCAGCGGCTGGAACCCGTTTGAACCTGAACTGGAAATTCAACCCTCCTGACGGCCCTCACTTCAACGAACTGTCCGAGGCTGGAGTGAAATCGATTAAAACTCATTTGCTGCGTGTGATTGGAAAGCAACTACTCACTTTTGAAGAACTATCTACCGTCCTCACACAAATTGAGGCGGTATTAAACTCTCGACCGCTATCACCAATTCCTTGCAATCCCAATGATCTACAGCCGCTTACCACGGCGCACTTTCTGGTTTTAGGGCCCTTGAACGGGACCGTTCCAGATCCAGATCTTACATCAATTCCTTCAAATAGATTGGATAGGTGGCAGCTACTGCAAAAAATGTGTCAGGATTTTTGGTATCGTTGGAAGAGCGAATACTTACATACCATTTAGATGCGCCATAAATGGAACACTACTTCTCCGAATTTGCAAGTAGGCGATATGGCACTTGTGGTAAATGAAAACACACTTCCGTTACAATGGAATTGCGCTCGTATTCTCGAAATTCACCCCGGGCCCGATGGCATCGTCAGAGTAGCGACAATCCGAACAAAACATGGACGATTGCAGCGCCCTGTTGTTAAACTATGTCCCTTACCGATCAACCGATACCATCGATCGTTAACAAATTTATTTTGTATTGTATTTTCGAAATTTATTATGAATGTTCACTTGTTAATTGATTTTATATTGTTATATTTATTTCTGCATTCTTTACATTTGTTAATCAATTTAAAAAAAAAATCTCTTTTTTTGGGGTGGAGAATAATGTTTAGGCAACCCATTTAGCAGCCTTTGTTGCTATGCCATTTTGTTGATATATTCATTTGTTTTTAATAAACAGCAGCCATTTTTTTCTATTCGTTATTAAAACGACGTTTTTTACTCGATCTCCTGAAGAAGCCAATGTCCAAACCCAATTCAAGTAAGAATTTTCTTCCGATCTTTTATCCCCGAATGCGTGGATTAAGATGTTCTTCAACTCTGGCCATGAGGTGGGCGTTTCGTTGGCATCAACGGCTTCTCGGGCTTTCGCTCTTAGCTTACCCATAAAGATTAATAACAATCTTTTCGCCATTTTTCGCTCGTTCGCATTCTGCTGTTCGGCTGGTAAATAATCCTCGATAAGGTGATTTTGTCTCCTTCAAACACAGGTATTAGGTCTTGATCTACCTTTGAAATTTCTCTCACCATGTTTACGTCTTCTTCTTCTATAGCCTCAATAGAGATACGTAATGCGTTGAAGTTATCCAGTTTTTGGGTTTTTAAAGGGGTTGATCACGAAGGGATTGCGAAAAATAAATATGGTACTTACAGTAAAGTTATCCAAATTGTTTTCATTTGTTTCTTTCTTTCGGTTGTTTCGGTTGAGGTCCTGGAAACCGGTCGTTGCTTTGAGATGGCTTGCTTCTCGGCAGGTTCCTCCTTGTTCAGAGATGTGGGCGATTGTAACTTAATCCTCGGCTGAACGGGTGCAGGTCTTCACAACAAAGAACTAAGTTCAATGAATCACATTTTCCGTATATTGACACGATTTGAGAGTCAACACAGAATAACACGCACGATTGTCAAAATCCTACTGACTGCGCCATTTATCACTTTCAAAAATATTGGGAATTTTTTAAAAAGCGATTTATTGTTCGCAGTCAAGAGTGAAGCCCATTTTATTACATTAAAACAAAGACTTAATACAATTGATTATAAACGCGACTTATATACTATTTATTTTGCGGTGTCAGCATCTTATCGTTGTGGTGGCAGGTATTTATCTTTTGCGGTGTCAGCATTTTTCTTATTGTTGTGGCGTGGTGGCGTATGTTAACTTTAGTTCTATACTGTCATCAGAATTATCTTCAATTATCGTGCCTTTTATATTATCATTAATAAATTTTAAATGTTTTTCATATGGCAGGCATACATTGTTTTCATCTCTGCCGACATCTTCGCTTAACGCAACTGTTACTATAGATGTGAGCATGGTTTTTATCTCATGAAGGTCCTCCATCTTGTATATGTGACTAATGCTTCGCAAATAAAATTGTCTAACTTTTGTAGACTTTCCGCGAAGGCAATCCCATCTTGCTATGATGTTAACAAAATGGTACAAATAGGTAAATATGTGGACTTTTTTCATTATTAATTAATTTAATTTTTTTTGCAAAGCTACCAGTTGCATCAATAGCTAAAAAGCTATGCACATTTCTTTTTGTTATTGTTTTATATAATAGTTTTTGTTCTTCTGTCCAGTACATACAGAAAAAAGGATCAAGCAAGGGATTCGTATTTAGCCAAGCTTAGATTGAGAATCGGATTAGATTGTTTCAACTCAAGACGACGATCCCTTTCCTGTTGCTTTGCTTTTCTCAAAACATTTGCACTATAAAGCATTGGAGGTGGGATGTAATCATTTTCAGTTATCAATTCTTTGGCTTGACTTGTTCGCCAGGTGCTTGCATCAGTTCTACATTTAACAAGTTCTGATGCAATTTGTAAACGGAGATGCCCTTTCAACTGCCTTTTTTTTCGTATGTAAACAATGCATCTGAAAATGTCTTAAAGTGCAATTAAAAATAACATCTGAATGTTTTTGTGGTTTATGCAACAAATGGCCCGAAAGTTTTGCGCCACATTCGGAGCAATAAGCCTTAAAGACATTTACTGTCATTACTCTTAAATACTTTTGCATATTTAAATGCTAATGCACAGAGAAGCTTTGCTTGCTCCCAAATTTTTGTGGAAAATATATGCGTCCATTTCCCTGGGGTAAGTACCGTATATTTTTTGTGCCCGTATGTTTTCTGCTTTGGTTTAATTTGTTTCCAAACTTCGTTTGCGATAACCAAAGAAAAGCTTTTATTTTCTGTGGTAACAGCAGACACAGAAGAAATATTGAACGATTCATCATTTGATGCATTCATTTTGAGTTCTTTATTACTTGGTACATCGAAAACATTCAACACATAATCTGTAATGCCATTTCTATTTGTATTTAAGATTGTGTATACATATTTGGCAGAGATTATAGAACCTTCTTTTGTCATGCAATTCGATATATCCTTATACACCTCATGGGAAGGTGGATATGCTTTGCCACTCCCGTCAACAACCCGATATTCCTGTTTACACAAAATTAAAAGTAAGGTTTCGCGATTATACATTTTGTTTTAAACGAAAACTACAAAATGAAATAAATACGTAAAATCAAAGACAAATTCACAACAAAAGAAAAATGCCAAATGAAAGAAGTATGTAAACTCAGAATAATGCAAAAGGAAAAATATAATTTAAAACCAAAGAAAGATTCGCAACAAAAGAAAAATGCGAAACGAATGAAAGATGTAAACTCAAAGAATCATGCAAAATAAAAGTATAATTTACTCAAAACCAAAGAAATATTCAATCAAAAGAAAACTGCGAAAC